CACATCCTTTCCTTGATCAGGGAAGAGTAAAGATAGTTCCCCAGGGGAAGCGCTGATGCTTTGTAGCTGTCGCTTCAGCTTCGGAGGACCGACGAGGTCAAGATAGGGCAGGGCCTTGACTCTTGATGTCATCCGGCCTGCAGGTAGAGGGAGAATCAGGTTCCTTGCCCCCAAAATGTTACAGCTTTTGGAATGGGAGTAGTTCATGTCACTGCTTTTATTTCCCAGCTCTCCTTTCTGTGGAGTTCGTACACCTTGGAGGGAAATGGGTGTCCTTTGTGGATATAGATTGAGAATGATCTCACTTTGATCACCAAATGGCCAGCTCTAGCCCAGAGGCCAGGCTTGAATGCTGTGAGGCAACTGACTTTCTTGGGTTCCTTTTTTATTAGGAAGAGCCTGGACTTGATTGAGTCGCTATTGCGGCTGGCGGAGGTGGGGCAGTATGAGCAGGTGAAGCAGCTCTTCAGCTTCCCGATCAAGCACTGTCCAGATATGCTGGTATTGGCTTTACTACAGATCAACACCTCCTGGCACACTTTGCGACATGAACTCATCTCCACACTTATGCCCATTTTCCTTGGCAACCACCCCAACTCTGCCATCATCCTGCATTATGCATGGCATGGGCAGGTAAGGGGGCTTTGCCGCGGTGTGGTCTGATCTTGCCTTGACAGCAGAGTCCAAACTGGAAGCATCTCGAGCACACTTTGGTGGCTGCATGGTGCTTCTTTTCCACACATGTGAGTGGCCTTGTGTGCCTGTCCTGCTCCGCCTCTGTGCACTCCGTAAGAGGGGTTGGCTGAAGTCCTGGTGGGGCTGAGCATAGATATATACTTCTTCCTCTCTCATTCTCTCCCTCTGTGTCCCAAACCCCCACACGTGGTCTTCCTAGCCGGAACCATGAAGGATGGATGAGTCCTGGGTTTTCCCCTGAGTTAGCAGTGCAAGATGAGGGTGACTAAACTGAGGTGGAGAACAGCAGTAACCATATCGGGTTGGCTGAAGTCCTGGTGGGGCTGAGCATAGATATATACTTCTTCCTCTCTCATTCTCCCTCTCTGTGTCCCAACCCCCCACACGTGGTCTTCCTAGCCGGAACCATGAAGGATGGATGAGTCCTGGGTTTTCCCCTGAGTTAGCAGTGCAAGATGAGGGTGACTAAACTGAGGTGGAGAACAGCAGTAACCCTATCTCCATTCCCCCCACACACACACACCACTCCCCCACTGCCGCCAGCCCTTTTCTCCAGGTGGCGTGAGGTGGTGTGGGAGTTGCAGGCACAATCTGTTTAACCCTAGGGGGAACTGTTGCTTGCCTCAGTAAATGTTTCTGTGCAGACGCAGGATATAAAATATGTTAAGTCAATAAAATCTTATACGTCAGACCTTTAGTTCACTGACTAAACTGCTAAGTATTCAATATTTGAAGAAGAATGGTGATCCTTAATTGTTGACTTGAATCACTGTTTAGGTTAGCTCACCCCTCCCTTTGGTGAAGAGGTGTTGCTGCTCCCTACAGATGGTGTTTGGGGCATTTGGTTGTATTATATGGCTATAACGGTGACCAGTTTAAAAAAAAATAAAAATAAAAATGGGAAGGAATAAAGCCAGTGCAGGTGAGGGGGAGACCTTGCCCGTACCATCAAGATGCCTCTTTTAAGAGCTGGAAAATTTGTCTGGTCTTCTGAAATGTATGTTTTTCCTCAGGGTCAGTCTCCTTCAATTCGCCAGCTTATCATGCATGCTATGGCAGAATGGTACATGAGAGGGGAGCAGTATGACCAAGCAAAGTTATCACGTATTCTAGACGTGGCCCAAGACTTGAAGGTGAGCCTTACATTACAGTTTTGTCTGTTTTGACTTTGGGGCTGGTACTACTGCAAAACCTAGAGGGTTCGGGATAGGCAAAAACCAAAGATTGTGTCCCAAGATGAGTTAAATAGCCGCATCAAGGAGTGTACTGCTGCGACACCGAGGGGGGGGGGGACTGGTAATTGCTAATTTTCTCCTCTCTACAAAATCCCTTGGGATTTTGGTGACTGAGATTTTTGCCATAGGATGTATTGACCAAGGTGGCACTCTTTCAGGCTTGCAGTCCTTTGTTTTCAGTCAAGAGTTACAGTGACCCAAAGGTGCCACCTTAGTGGCCCCTGAGTCTGTCCTGTGTGGTAACTTAATTTCTGGTTGGTGGAATTGATGTAAAAGCCTCTCGTGGGCTCTCTTAAAACAAAGGCAAGCTGTGTTGCCATACTGAGGGGTTGGCTGGAGGTTTTAAGAATGACACGTGAATAGTACTGTTTCCCCTGAAATATTATGGATGTAGTGATGGTGGAGTAGCTCCGATCAACTGTGGAAGCTGCCGATCCCACCCACAAGGCTGTGTGATTGGGCTGACTCTCCAGGGCCAGCTCCTTCTGTCTGGTCTAGGCAGGTTCTAGGCCAGTTGGGAGTTCCATCCCTTCCTCATGGCTTTGACTGCTAGGCGAGGGAAGGAGGGAGAGACCCCTGTATTGGCCATAGGCATGGCCCACGGTAACGGAAAAGGTGTGAGGTTCCTTGTGGACGTGGGTTTGGCCTTGAGTGCCACGTCAGGCAGTCAGTAAGGGAGGCTGAGTGCCTGGCAGGCCCCTCCCGTCCTCAGCCGCCTGGCCCTCCCTGGGGTCCTTCCCGATTCTCCCCAGCTTCGTGTGAGCGGTCGGGGGAGGGAGTGCATGGGGAAGGAAGCGAGCGGAGCGGGGTGGTCCTTTGACTAGCCGTGTTCTGCCTTTTTTTCCCCTTTAGGCGTTGTCCATGCTGCTAAATGGTACTCCATTTGCCTTTGTTATTGACCTTGCTGCACTTGCCTCTCGACGGGAATACCTCAAACTAGACAAGTGGCTCACAGATAAAATTCGGGAGCATGGGGTAAAGCAGGATTTGCTTAATCACTTTCACGGCATGTTTGGTGGTAGCGGTCACTTCTTCAGAAACGTCTCGTTATGTTTAAAAATACTTTCAGGATGCATTCTTGATTTAAAGTAGGATTTGCCCAGTTTCACTTCTCTTTCAATTCCATTTGCATGTTTGCAGTTTTGCTAGGCGGGGGGCAGCCTACTGAGAGGTGTGTGTTTTTCCTCCTCTAGGAGCCTTTCATCCAAGCCTGCATGACTTTCTTAAAGAGAAGATGCCCCTCCATCTTGGGGGGCCTTGCCCCGGAGAAAGACCAGCCCAAAAGTGCTCAGCTCCCGCCAGAGACGCTGGCCACCATGCTGGCTTGCCTTCAGGCTTGTGCAGGGTAAGCAAGTGAGATCTCCCATGCGTGGCGGGGTCTCCTCGCGAGGAGGAGAGAGGGGCTCCAGAGCCAGGAGAGCCGCGGTGGCCTTGACTCATCCAGGAGCTGAATTGGCGGTCTTGGCAGGTGGCTGATCTGGCTCCAGCCACCGCTGCCCCCAGTCTCTAAAACGTGGGCCAACGAGTAGGACTAAATCAGGATCCAGTCCAGTATTTCCAGTCCTGCAAAGCTGTAGCATTTCATCAGGAGTTACAAGGTGTTTGGTTTTTTTTTCCTTTTTACTATTGAGCCTCAGTGCTAATACATCTAAGGGGTGAAATCACACTATAGGATCCAGTTTCCAGATTTGGGTGTGAGATTAAAGTTTACCCAGCAAAAACAGCTAGCATGTGTATTATACAGCAGCGTTTAGCTAATTCATATTCATGTTGACATGTAAACGTTGCCGGTGCTACTTAATCCCTTTCCCTGTGAGTTGCTCTGTTGTGAAACCTCTTTAGCAGAAGATTATTTTGGTAGATCAAAGGCCGTCTTTTTCTTTCTTTATTCCTTTTTAATTGGTAGATTATTATTATTATTTAAACTGTCTTTGGGGCTATCCCTGCAGACTGGAGATTAACATAAAAGCATAAAGCTGGAGATTGAATTGGGGGTAAGCTAATTTTGAGAAGCGTTCAGGATAGTCAACTGTTGTTTGCAGGAAATGGCTTTTGGCATCACAAGAAAAGTAAACCTGTTTAGGTATTCAAATTACTCATGCTGTGATCTTGCAGGTATATGACTCAGTTATATGCTAAAGGGAATGGCAGTCATGGGAGTCTTTGAGGGGAAAACCTCCTCTGGGGAAGATTTTAAAGCCAAGACAGGACTGACAAATCAGGTCAAGGTTCTGTGAAGAGCCGAGGCTTTCTGTGGGCAGAGCAGTTTTCTGAGGGGTGGCTGTGTGTGGCGACTGGTCATTGATTGGGCTATACATGGGGGAGATGGTGAGCCAGGGATGCGTGTGTGTGTGTGTGTGGGAAATCTCCTCATTTGCCCCTGGAGGTTACGCCTTCCTTTAAGTTGGTTGACAGGTTGGTCCTTCTGTCATCCACGGGGTTGGCACAGTCCTGAGCCATTCTGGTGGGACAAGCCAGAGGAGAGTATTCCAGTTCTTCCCCGTTCTGAGTTGGCCACTTCTCCAGTTGAGTGATTGATTGATCCTTGAATTCCAAGAAGGAGGTGCTTTCGCAGCTGAAAAGAATGTCATCTTGGATGTCTAGTAAACTCACAAATGTCTAGTAAATTTAAAAAAAAACTTATTTCGCCCCACCCCACCCCCCACCCACTAGAAGCGTGTCTCAGGAGCTGTCGGAGACTATTCTCACCATGGTCGCCAACTGCAGCAACGTCATGAACAAAGCTAGGCAGCCGCCACCTGGAGTGATGCCCAAGGGACGTCCGCCCAGTGCTAGCAGCCTAGATGCCATCTCTCCTGTACAGGTACATGGGTGTCTAGATAAGCCATGGCAGCATGGCTGGTGGCAGACGTTACCTCCTATGACTCTAAACTAGTTTCTTTTGCACACCATTCATGTTGGTACAAAGTATATTAAGCTTCTTTGCATAGCCTACTCTTCTAGTTTAAGCACCGCCTTTGAACCGGATGTGGCTTCCGTAGCCCTTCAGGCCAAGCAGCAGTGCTAGAGCATAAGGACTTGTTATAACTGGGGTTCTTCAGCTTTGGACTGAAATGCTCTTTTAAACACAAGGCACATCACTCTTGCTTTTCCCCACATTCTGTCACTGCCCCTCCTAGGTTTAATAAGCAGAAAGACTAGAAAGCTTCTGCTAGCTGAGTGTATTTCTCTATCTCGGGAACTTTTGTTATTTCTTAAAAGAATAATGAAGTAATTCTGCCAGTTACAGATTAAACACAACTGAGCAGTTTTTGAAAGGAAATTTTGTGAGAGTAACTAAAACTAGCAGGATCTACAGTGAGCCTGTTTTCATCCTGAATCATGTGAACCTCTGTCCCTTTGGAAAGGCATCATAGACACTGACACACTATGGGGTTGGGTAGCTCTACAGACGAACTCACGTTGGGCAACCCAAATGCAGAGGCTCTAGCTAGGGAGGACTTGGCTTGTACATAATAATATAATAGCACAGATGTTTTCCCCCCAGGTAAGTAGAGCATAGTTGGACGGGAACAACTTCCCATGTGGAAGTGTGATTTGCACTTAGAGACACGATAAAGGTGTTTAAAATTAGGCATAGTGAGGAAGGAGTGGGCAGAGAGAAGTGTCTTCCCGTGAGGAGGGTGATTCACCGAAGCCGTGGGAGACTCCGAACAGACAGAAGGGATTATTTCTTCATAGAGTGTGAAATGGTATAAAGGCAATCAACTTGATTTAAAGGGGGGGGGGTAAGAGAAAGTTGTAAAAGTTAAACTCTTAGTGATCCTGAGCCAGGATGGCTCTGAGGTGAGAGGGCAGAAGTCTCGCAAGACAGCCGTGAAGGGGGAGCCGACCTGGGGGTGGGGGTGCTGTGGCTTGAGGTGGGCTCCTCGGAGGCATCTTGGTGGCCACTGAGGTGACAAGCGGGTAGAATAGAGGGTGTTGCCTTGGAAGGATCCAGCAGGACTTCTTTGTTTGCCAGAGGGGACCCAAAGGATAAGGGATTTGAAGTGTGGTGTCGCTGAATTTGCAAGGACTCGTATAAATAAAGAGGACTCTCTGGCTGGCCGTTCCAGCAGGTCTCACCGCTTGCTGTCTCTTTTTAATATTTTATCCCCAGATTGATCCCCTTGCTGCTGGGATGGCATCTCTGAGTTTAGGTGGCTCAGCGGTCCCACACACGCAGAGCGTTCCAGGTTTTCCTCCGAACTTGAGTTCAGCCTTTAGTACTCCTCAGTCTCCAGCAAAGGCCTTTCCGCCACTTTCCACTCAAAACCAGAACACACCTTTCAGTGGGATTGGCGGCCTGTCCTCGCAGCTTCCAGGTAATCTTGTATGAGAACATTTGGCTCTCCTGTTCTTACAACAGGCCTGGGGTTCAGCAGGTAGTGGAACACAAAGTGCTGTGGCTTTGATCCCAAGTCGTGTAGTGTTGGTCACAGATATCGCTCTTGGGTGGGACAGGAGGTCTATGAGTTCTCCTGTTCACCTGCAGCATGTTGTGCTGGTATTCCTCCCTTGTGCTTGAGGCTCATCCGATTCTCAGTGGCAGATTTACCCGAGGATACAGAAGGAAAAGCTCCCTTCTGTGCGCAGGAACTTCCTTCTTGCCTTTTGCAGAAGGAGCACTGGGATGCGTATGGCTGTGGGTGTTTGTATTTAGTAGTGATACACCTGAAACGAAAGCTGTTTCAGCACAATGAGTTCAGCCCTGCATTTGGGGAAAGGGTGCTCTCTGACCTCAACAGCGTCCCAGCAAGACATGGTGGGAAGAGCTATGGGTGTGCCATGTCTAGAAGGCACCATGTTGCCGGAGGTGGTTCGAACCCTTTGTGCCTTTGACCCTGCTTGGGGAGGGGCGGGGGGAGCGTTAGCAAGACCACAGCCTGTGCAGTAGCTTTTGGAATTACATTATTACATCTTTCCCAGTAGGTGGTCTTACGACAGGCAGCCTGGGGATTGGGACAGGGGCCCTCGGCCTTCCCGCTGTGAATAATGACCCGTTTGTTGTGCCAAGAAAACTGAGTACATCAGGACTGAACCAGCCTTCATTCCAGCAGAGTAAGATGAAACCTTGTAAGTGATGTTGCCGTCTGATTGCGAAGTGTGACTGAAGAGTTTTTGTTTCTCGTAGTCAGGGAAGGAACCAGGTTTTATTTCTCTTCTATTCAGTTTTTCCTTTAGGAAGCTTTGGTGAAGCTTATGTGGATCTCCCAGCTAGTCCACCCATCCTTGTGGTGACCAGACTAAAATCTGCTTTGCTCTAAGAAGCTACTGGTGCTCCCAGCTGGTCATGTACAGTTGCGGGGAGTGGGAGAATGGGCCAGAAAGAGTACAAAAGCCTTCTTGTCTTTTTCTGTCCCTCGTCCTCTGCCAAGGTGCTGTTTAGCAGGAAAAGAGCTGGGCCTGTTTTCATCAGACGGGTCCCCTTTTCACTCTGCACTGGCTGTTCATTCTTGAGATGCTGAATTGGTGTTTTTGGGATGGTACTAATTTCCCTGCAGGATCTGAGATGGTGGTGGAAAAGGTGCTTGGCCATTTCTTGGTAACGGTACGGTGTTACCCAGAGACAGGGCATGTCTAGCTCCCTCACTTGCTGCACTGTTTGCATTTTCTCTGTGGCTTTCTTAAGCTTTCACCAAAATGTTTCTTAGATTAATTGTGCCCCAGTTGTTAAAAATTTCCTGGTGATGGGAGGGAAGAGACCCTCAGTGTAGTGTGTGTGTGTGTATCGGTTTGCTTGTTTAGAATATTTATTTATGCCCCACCTTTCTCTTGAAAAAGAACCCAAGGCAGCTTATGACATCATTTCAAAAAGGCAATATTGAAAGCTAAAAGTAATAAGTTGAAGACATGGACACTGCCCTTGGTTTGTTTGTTTGTTGTTAATTTTGTTGTGAGCTGCCTTGAGTATTGATTTTGGGAGTTGAGGTTTAAGCCGATGAAATGAATTCCCTTGGGCTTCATTTAGGTGTCTGACTGACTGCTGTGTAAACAGAACCGTAAGGCTAAGCAGGCCTTTGCTCGCATCCAGCATGACTTTCTTACATTTTTATCTGCCAGTCTTTCCTGAGCTTGTAATATGAATAAGAATTTAAGTGAAAGGTGGGGTGCATCATGTTGAAACGGTACACTGCGTTCTTTCCTCTTTGCACTGGAATCTAGCATTGTGAAATGAATGAGTGTTGCTTTTATTATGGGTTGACATAATTCGTATCTGCCTTTTTTTTCTGCAGCTGACTTATCTCAGGTATGGCCCGAGGCAAATCAGCACTTTAGCAAAGAGATTGATGATGAAGCCAATAGCTATTTTCAGCGTATTTATAATCACCCACCACATCCGACTATGTCTGTAGATGAGGTAAGCTTTGGGTAGTTATTATAATTTTCTCTAACCTTAATTTATTTGTATCTGAGTGTTGCTCAGTTTATTTGTATCTGAATGTTGCTCATATGGACATACAGTGGGGTCTCTACTTAAGAACGTCCCTACTTAAGAACAATCCAACTTAAGAACAGCTCCATTTGCTAAATTTTGCTTCTACTTGAGAACAGAAATCCAAGATAAGAACAGGAAAAAAAACCTTTCCTGCTCTTTTTTTAACCTTAGGTCATCTTAGGTTTTAAAAAAATTCTCCCCATAGTGGTAGAGTACGTATTAACCAGCTTTGGTTAATGTACGAATGCACCTCTACATAACAAAAAAACAGCCAGAACGGATTAATTGGTTTTCAGTCCGTTCCTATGGGAAATTTTGCTTCAACTTAAGAACATTTCAACTTAAGAACACCATTCCAAAACGGATTAAGTTCTTAAGTAGAGGTTCCACTGTAGTTTCTATGGACGGAAAAGAGCAGATATGGATTAAATGGTTTTCAATGCATTCCTATGGGAAATGCAGATTCAACATAAGAACTTTTCAACTTGAGAACCACCTTCCAATACGGATTAAGTTCTTAAGTAGAGACCCCACTGTATATGAAATATAGGTAAAATTAAAAACAAATTAAAATGTTAAGATAAAACTATTTTTGACCAGAAGCAGGCTACTTCAATAGCATTATCTTGGCCATTTGTTAGCTTTTCTTTTGTACGTGTGGTGGGGCATAAATTACATGCACACAAGTGCTACATTGATAGAATTTCTACGATCACAGAAAATTTATCCTGCATCCAAGTAGCCCCATTTTACTTGACTATTTTTGATCTTCCTGCTTCACTTCAAAGTCTGTTAACTGACTTCCAAATAGTCCAGCTAGAGTCTTGTCTTGGTGGGAGATGCTCTTTGACGTTCATCCATTTGGCAAGGTGTGTTGTTGTTGTTGTTTGCTCAATGTAGATTTGGCCTAGCCTCTTCCGGTTTAATATTGAGAGGTGTGCAGAAAGCTGTTCCTCGATTTTAGCTGTCCTCTAGGGGCCTGGTGTCCACAAAATGGACAGGTTTTATACTGTATTATCATGTTTTGTTCATTATTTGCTAGCACCACACACCACCTGTGGAATGGTATAGACTGAGGTCGGGTGGCTGAGTAGACCTGAACTCAGAATGGGGGTCTGTGTGGAGTGTTTGGAATGGGATCGCCTACACTGTCCATGCCCTTTTGAGCTAGAGGCTCAGGGACAACAAATTTAGATCCGGATGGTCTTCCTGACGTTCTGATTTCCTTGCAGGTCTTAGAAATGCTGCAGAGGTTTAAGGACTCCAACGTTAAACGGGAACGCGAAGTGTTTAACTGTATGCTGAGGAACTTGTTTGAGGAGTACCGTTTTTTCCCCCAGTACCCCGATAAAGAGCTGCACATAACCGCCTGCCTCTTTGGTGGGATCATAGAGAAAGGACTGGTGACTTACATGGCCCTGGGCCTGGCCTTGCGCTATGTTCTTGAAGCCTTACGAAAGCCTTTTACGTCCAAAATGTACTATTTCGGCATTGCTGCACTAGATAGGTTTAAAAATAGGTGAGTGCTGGGTGAGTGCTGTCTTATAATATTTTCAGAAGTTTTCAGGGGACACTACTATGTGTCTGGTTCAACAATATACTAAGCTTTACAATACAGAACTCATGGTATGTGGCAGTTCTTGGGCGTAACCAACGACAGAGGCATAAATTAAACCTCACTTATTAAAAGAAATGTGTATTTTGATATAAATTAAACAGGTCAATCATAGGAAGTTTGAAGGTGGGGGGAAACTGCCTTTAAACCAGTCCCAGGATGCCCTTGCTGGTGTTGTTATAACCTTGACTGGCTTTGCCTCGATGGGTCTGGGAGCAGCTGCAGGGCCAGTTTTCTCCAAGACTCTCTTGGATGAGAAGATGATCTTTTGCCCGTTTTGCAAAACACTTTTCAGAGACCTTAGAAAGAGTTAGCAGGCCGGATGCCATCACGTCAAAGTGCCGGGGAGTAGTACATACCAGTCTGGAGTCCCTTTGTCTGCATCCTAAAGCCATTGAATTCTCGCTTGTCCTTTTCCCTCTCTCCATGGCCACTTTCAACTTTGAAAGCTATATTTTAACATGAATTTTAATTCAAGTAGCTTCCGTTGTCTAGCATATACTATGAATAAAGCTTGTTTGGGCTTCCACCGAAAGGCTGCGTGGTTGTCATCTTTAACTGAGAAGTTTACTGGAAGTGCAAAGTTGTAATTGCTTGTTATTTTGCTGACGTCCTGCAGTCTTGGTAGGCTGGTGGTTTTGCACTGTTTCTGCCTTGTGGCATCGAGACCGGCTGCAACAGTGACGTTGACATGTTTGCCCTTCAACTGGTTTGTGACAGAACCAGAAAAGTCTCTAAACAGCTCTTTTACTTTAACGAGAGATTTATTGTTATGACGTTGCTGTTGGGGTCTCAGGGGGGGCTGTTCATTTTCTCCTGCTAATGGATAGTTTTATTGTTGACAGATTGAAGGACTATCCCCAGTATTGTCAGCACTTGGCTTCTATTAGTCACTTTATACAGTTCCCGCATCACCTGCAGGAGGTGAGTGTTTACAGTCATGCAAAGTACATCGGGTCAAGATCGCAAATGTCTCAACCTCCCCTTCGTGCTTCATTGTCCATTTAATAATGGACACCAAGGGGGTCTGAAAAAGTTTGGCTACAGTCCAGTCGCCGGTACCCAAAATAGGTTAAAGTGCCCACTGGGAAACCTTTAGCCCTGCGGAGCCCCACTCCAGGCATGGATCAAACATGGCGATTCCCAAAAGCTGGCTGGCAAGGTCTTCTAAACATTATAGCCTAATAACATCCATGGCGCCAGATTTTGGAACTGCCGACTCAGTTCATGCCAAGCACTTATTCTTTGTAGAATTGGGTTTGCATGGCAAATAAATCCCTCGTTCCTTCGTCTTCCCAGACCTTCTGAGGGCAACCAAACTGGAAAGGAAAGTTCAGTTCAAAGGTTGTAGTCCAAAGTCAGCAGTGATATGTGTAACCTTAATTCTTGCCAGCTGACATTACAACCATTCTGGTTTAGAAGGGCCAATACCTGATCTGTCTGTTGGGAAATCCTCATCCCATTGCACTATTGGAACTAGAGAGCTTCAGTTGTTAAAGACCAAATGGTAGTTTATAATTTGGGACAGGCTGCCAGAGGCTCGTTCCTTCTGACTCCTTTTTGTCCCCACTGAAGGTTTGCCCACCTTTCCAGCACCACCTCCTCTCTGTCTGGCTGTTGCTGCTTCTGGAATGCCCACAGGATATAGAGAAACGAAGGGAGTAGAGCTGAGACTTAACAGTGCCAACTTCTCCATTTAATGCTTGTGTGGCTAATTTCCCTGGAGTTTCAAAAACAGGGATTTTAGGATGTGTTTTGCGGTTAGGGAGGTTCTGCCGTGAGTGGTTTGTGTGAGATTCAAGCACCCTTTGCTTTTGCTCTGTTGCAGTATATTGAATATGGGCAGCAGTCCCGAGACCCTCCCGTGAAGATGCAGGGCTCCATCACCACCCCTGGAAGTATTGCACTGGCCCAGGCTCAGGCCCAGGCCCACGTTCCGGCAAAAACTCCTCTTGCCGGCCAAGTTAGCACTATCGTCACCACCACCGCCACCACCACCACCACCGTGGCCAAGACGACCATCACCCCCGTGGGTCGGGTCAGCTTCAAGAAGGATGTGCCAGTAAGTACACGAGCCAGCGGGCGTGAGCAAAGGCGGGGAGGAGTGGTCCTTTTAAGCTGTATAAGTTTTGCCGTAAAGCCATGACAGTAAACCATGAAAGTCCATGTTCGGGAAGCACCCTGGAGGATAAATGCGTTGGCTCTTCGAAGCGAACCTCCCATGTCACTTCAACCAGTTTGGGTTAGGTGAAAGATGGTGGTATGGTTAGACGATTGTCTAGGTGCAGTTTTGACACATCACACGGTTAATTCTTGCACTTTGTTGGATGTTAGCTTTTCCTCCTACCTTGTTATGCTCGTTCTGTAGCCCTCCCAGCTTCTTTCCTTGCCCTGAGAGATCTCGTGGATGGCACAATGCCGTCGAACAAGATTTTTGCCCTTCCATCTGTCACCAGTCTCCCTCTGCTTTGGAACTCGTTCTTGTTTCAGGCCCTGCATGTTGAGGCCTCTTTGTTTCGCCAGCATGTTGCCTCCGTCCCTCCACTCTGCCATCCGGACCGATAGCCCTGGTCCTCCTTTGGCTCGTCCTCTCTGGACTGCATGCCTTACACTGGCCGTTGGGCTGCTTTGCCTGCTGTCAGCATTAAAAGCCACTACCTTTTCTCCTCTTGCGCCTCACTGCCGTCCTGTTCAGCTACCTGTAGAGAGATGCGTCCTTGGGCTCGGGTTGAGGCAGAGGTTTGGAATGCGACTGTTTTGGAACGCCCTCTCCCAAATTCCCAGCCGTGATGGTTGGTGGATTCTGGGGCTTGCAGTCCAGAAGGGGGTCACCTTTCCACGCTCTGTTTTGAAGTGCCCTTGGCCGAGGCCAGCCTGAGCGTCCATCTCGTCATGCTCTCTGTGCCACAGGGGAGCTGGGTGCTCTCTGGCCGTGGGTCAGCTCTGTCCTCTTGGTGATGGCAGGCCCTCCCGGGGATTCCTACACAGCCTACAAGCCCCGTTATCCTCTGCAATCAGGGATTTTACTTCTCCCCCCTTTCCTTTTAAAAAAGAAAGAATTGAGGTTTTTATTGATCTCTGTATTCCAGCAGAAAGTAACAGACCAAACTAAACAAAATGGAATACATTGCAATGTGATAAAATTGCATGTTATTTGGGGGGGAAATGAAACACCTTTGCCGGGTGCTGAAAATCACAATACTAGTGCCAGGCAAGCCTCGAGAGAGAGAGAGAGAGAGACTAAAATTTACCATGTAAAAAGCTTTCTTTGGTGGTCACTCATCTTACCTCAGATGTTGAAAACAGCTGGAGAAGATGGGCTTTTGAATCGGCCTCTGAAGGCCAGTCTGTGTAGAATATTACCGTAGTCTGTAGTAAATAATGCCAGAACCTCGGTAAGGGTGCTCATGCTTTCCCAGCCGCCCATCTGCCACGTCACCCTAAGTCGCTGAAGGTCCCTTCTTGCCACAGAAGCCACCTAGGCGTCTTCCTGCAAAACCCCATCTAGGTGGACCCCCACCCCAGCCTACGAAATGGTGCGCTTGCTTCTGGAAACTCAGCTGGCTTCTGCATCACACAGCATCTCTGGCCAGCTTCAGTTGATATCGTAGTCGTGTTGCCTTCTAGAAAGAGGTGTTTTTTAATATTGCTGTAAGCAGAGTCTCCCAGGACGCTCTGTCTTTGATTTCAAGGTGGCCACCCTTGAACTGCAGAACTTCAAAGACAGATTTCAACGGACACAGCTGAGCAAGAGTTCACCAGGAAGTTCAACGCTTCTCTTCTGTGGCTTCAGTAGAGACAAGGACTTCTTATCTCCCTACATGTATTACTTAGCTCAACTCTGCAGGGCTGTCTCTATTACCACCCAGTTACAGTTTGTTAATGTCCCCTGTTTAACCAGTTTTCGGTGCCTGGGCTTTTTGCATTTCTTTCTTTCTCTGGCCCTGCTGATTACAGTCCTCCATGTGCAAGAGTGCCTCTCTAGGTTAAGTGTTGTCTCTTGGATATGACAAGGAAGCCATTCCTAACACTGCATGTGTCACCATTCTTATCAGTACTGGAATATGTTACCTTCCAATTGTTGTTTGTGAACCATTACTGTTAGGATCAGCATTTGTAACGTTTGTATTTCTGTTCCCATACACATCCTTTTTGCTCAAGCATGTGTATAAATAATATCTGTCAGTTAAAGGCCACCCTTCGTACATTGATAAAATCAACTACACTCCATCAAACCTCTGTCAGATAAAACTCCTTAGTCTTTAAGGTGCAGCTAGACTCTTGGTTATATTTACTCCTGGAGCTTACTCTCTTTACTCTCTCACTCTCTCTTTCTCCTCTCTCTTTCTCTTCCTATGTCTCTTTTACTTTTTGTAACTTTGGTATAAAACAGTGACTGGCACCATCTATAGTTTTCATGCTGTTGTGCAAGTCCATGGTCTATTGGATCTTTAATGCAATTAGCTCATTTGTTCAAATTATTGTTCTTCTTCTGCAGCCTTCTATTAATACAACCAACATTGATACCCTACTAGTAGCCACAGATCAAACCGAGAGAATTGTTGAACCCCCTGAAAATGTGCAGGAAAAGATTGCTTTCATCTTCAACAACCTGTCTCAGTCGAACATGACTCAGAAGGCAAGTACTGCATGACATTCAAGTCCTGGTTTTCCTTCTTTTTTCTTCCCATGGAGTAGCAGGCTGAGTGGCCCTCATGCATGCCAAGACTGGACTCAGCCAGTGGATGGGCAAAATTTTGGCAAACCACTCTCTTACATAGCAGCGTTCCTTTTCTTCTCAAACAAACTTTGAATCTGATCATTTTGATGGGGTGAAACTACTAATTACCTTCAGATGAATGTCACTGTTTCTGATTTGTAAACAGTAGGAGGTCATACTTTGACCTTAGCCTCATTTTTATAAGAAAGCCACCAGATGTTAAATGCCTACTCAATAATCCATTTGCTCCCCATCTACTGGGAAAATAAGAGAGCTTTGTCTACCTGGTAGATCCTAGGAAGAGGTGGGAGAGCTGATCCTCTGCCTCCAGCTTCCAGCAGGGACCTAGCATCTGCAGCTGATGCTGTTTTTCAAAGCACTCTTCCATGCCTGTTTATTCTGTGCCACATTGCAAAACCGGGTCCGTGTGCTCTTTTCTTAGGCAAATACAAAATCTGTTGGGCACAGAATTTGGCATACTTAATCTGATTTCAGGGTTGGGTTTTTCCTTGATAATAGGTTCTAGCCCTTATAACCATGTTGGAAACCTCTCAGAGCTGTATGATATTTCCAGTAAGCACAGAGTAAAATAAGAAGGAAGGAGCTTTTCTTTTGTGAAGGATCAAGGCTGGACTGAGATCCACTGAAGTGTCCAGAGCAGGGCCATCGTGCTGCAAGCAAAGTGAAATCCCCGCCATTGATTTCCTGTGCTGGGATTCGAAGCCACATAATCTGTTTAGCACTTACCATCATCGGAAGATAGAGTTATGCAAAGTGAGCAAAACGTGCAAATATCTTTATTTGCAAAAATTGTGGCAATCACAGAATTATGATTCCTTGGTACCTGATAACCGCATTATCCAAGCCATGTCAGAAGAGGGTGAGAGAACCAGGGACGGAGACCAAAACAGTGAGCAACGGCATGTCACAGATGATTACTAGAATTCAGCCGCCCAGTTCACATAGTAGGGTTGAGTCAGGTTCCAAATCTTGGCGAACTGTCCTTTCCGACCCCTCATGTCTCTGCATTACAGCACGGTCTTGTGGCCTCTTGTTGACCCAGGTCTCTTCTTCTGTTTATGGAGGCAGGTGGAGGAGCTGAAGGAAACGGTGAAAGAAGAATTCATGCCTTGGGTCTCGCAGTACCTTGTAATGAAGAGGGTTAGCATCGAGCCAAACTTCCACAGCCTTTATTCGAATTTCCTTGACACGCTGAAGAACCCCGAGTTCAACAAAATGGTTCTGAATGAAACCTACCGAAATATCAAGGTGGGTGCTGCAGAGCTTCGCTTCTCTTCGCCCTTGTGGGGCCTTGGAAGGCGAGGAGAGCCGCGTTGAATCTCCGAAATGGGACAGGCTTCCCCTGGCCTCGCTGAGATTCCCATTGTAATTGCCCTTCTTTAATGGCTGAGGGAAGAACCTGGAGATAATGGAACGCTAAGGAGAAAATTGCTTCACTTCCTTCAAACCAGCTCAGAGGGTCCTTCACGGTGGCAGAATGGCTTTGTGATCTTATCGCTGCTTCCTAAGAGGCCTTCTCTCTGAAGATGCTTTTTTTTCTGTTTCTGTTTTGTTTTTAAAATCCTTTTAGGTGCTACTCACTTCAGACAAAGCTGCTGCCAACTTCTCCGACCGTTCCCTGCTAAAGAACCTGGGCCACTGGCTGGGGATGATCACGTTGGCTAAAAATAAACCCATCTTGCACACGGTGAGACTGGGCGGAAATGGGGAAGTTGGGAGATGATGCCGGAAATTGTGGGGCATCTTTATGCATTAGAGTTTTCAGCTTTCATTTTATAGATTAGCAGCGAAAATAAATAATTAAATCTAGATAGAAGAGAGTAAACCAAGCCATTGTACAAAACGCTGGTAAGGCTGCACCTGGAGTATTGTGTACAGTTCTGGTCTCCACACCTCAAAAAAGACATTGTGGATCTGGAGAAGGTGCAGAAGAGAGCGACTCAAATGAGGACTGGGCTGGGGCACCTCCCATAGGAGAAAAGGCTACAGCGTTTGGGGTTCTTTAGAGAAAAGGCCCCTGAGGGGGACACACGATGGAGACGTATCAGATGATGTGGGGGGTGTGTGTGGATCAAGTGGACAGAGGGAATCTCTTTCCCCTCTCATGCAATACCAGAAGCAGGGGATGTCCACTCCAGTGTAGTGTTGGGAGAGTGAGAACAGACCAAAGAAAATATTTCTTGACCCAGCGTGTGTTTAGTCTGTGGAACTCCTTGCCACAGGATATGGTGACAGCATCTGACCTAGATGCCTTTCAAAGGGATTGGACAGATTCCTAGAGGAAAAGTCCACAGCGCAGGTGACAAGCCATGATGGGGAGGTACAATCTCCAGGCTTAGAAGGAAGGGACCTCCAAAGGCCAGGTGCAGGGGAGGGAGGGGTGTCAGGAGACAGGTCTCTCGTGGTCTCTCTTGTGCTCCCTGAGGCATCCGGGGTGAGGCCACTGGGAGAGACGGGAAGCTGGACAAGGCGGGCCCTTGGCCTGATCCAGCACAGGGCTCTTCTTACGTAAGGGGCACCCTTGATGTGTGGGTGGGATTTCATCAGCCTTCTCCTGTTCTTGGGTTCCATTTGTGCTCCTTTTGGTTGTAGGACTTGGATGTGAAATCCTTGCTGCTGGAAGCTTATGTCAAAGGTCAGCAGGAGCTCCTCTACGTTGTGCCATTTGTTGCCAAAGTCTTGGAATCCAGTGTAAGAAGCGTGGTAAGTCTGACAGTCGCATGTCAAGGGAAGGTTTGGTGCAGCATCTGATAGTGCCACAGCCACTCATTCTGCGCTCAGGGAGATCTCCAGCTCATCCCCCCCCCCTGCTCCTTTCTGGCCGGCTGAGCCTCGCAGCTTCTGGATAGTCCTGTTCTGGCCATTGAGGGTGGCTCCTTCCGCCAAGGCGGGCTCCCTTTGGAAAGCTGGATGAAGCGGAAGGGAAGGTGCAGGAGTGGAGCGGTCTGGAAGCTCAGCCTGGCTTGCTCTGTGGAGTGACAGCACTAGAGCCTGGCCGGGGTCTGCCCATGGTGGGGATAAAGCTTCATGCCTCCGGTGCCCTGTGAAAAGATGCAGCCTGCTTCAGGACAAATCATGGTGTTCTGCTGCAGGTCCTGAAGCAGAGCTGTTAACGACGTCTTTCCATTCTTGATGTCTTCCAGGTTTTCAGGCCTCCCAACCCGTGGACCATGGCAATTATGAATGTACTAGCAGAGCTGCACCAGGAACATGACTTAAAAGTAAATAATGCATAACTTCATAGTGCCCCTCAGTACTTCCCAGTCCAGAAGAACTTCTCATAGGGTGTTTGCTTGAAGGCTTGACTAGAAGATGATAGACAGTTAAATGGCATTGCGTAGATAATGGTCTCAGACGGGTTCTGCCATTGTTGTTCTTCTCGTTTGCCCTGAAGTACCGAGCTGCCTTTCAGAACATGTATTCAGACTGGTGGGTGGATATAAACGGGGAAGTTCAGTGTCAGTATCAGTCAAAATGCTGTAGTTACATTATTAAACTTAAAATAATTAAATATTGCACAGCTGAATCTGAAGTTTGAAATAGAAGTTCTCTGCAAGAATCTTGCGCTTGACATCAATGAACTCAAACCCGGGAACCTTCTGAAAGACAAGGATCGGTTGAAAAATCTGGATGAACAGTTATCTGCTCCAAAGAAAGACGTGAAACAGCCGGAAGAGTTGCCCCCCATTGCAACCACCAGTAAGTGCCCTGGCTCCCTTTGGGCCTGCTTTGCACTGCTAGGTACTGCTTTTAAGTGCTGGAATTCTTAACAGCTGTAAAATCCAGCAAACACTGTTTGCCATTTTGTTTGCTAAAATTCTAACATTAGGCTAGTGAAGCCATGTGTTTCTTATAAAACAGATTCTGAAATACGGAGTGAAATTCTGATAGGGGAAAGATTCTGCAAACCCTTTTTCCTGTTCCACTTCTCTTGCTCAGCTGCTTCTACAACCCCAGCAACCAGCACTACCTGCACAACTACAGTTCCTCCACAGCCGCAATACAGCTACCACGACATTAATGTTTACTCTCTGGGAGGCCTAGCGCCACACATCACTCTAAATCCAACAGTAAGTCCTGGCCTTTGAAAAACCTTTGAGAGAGGGTTCTAATGCTTTGTGTGTGCTGGGCTAGGCACAGCTAGCTGCTGACAGCTGTTCTCCTTGCCTTTCTAGATACCCCTTTTCCAGGCCCACCCCCAGTTAAAGCAGTGCGTCCGGCAAGCCATTGAACGTGCGGTCCAAGAACTCGTTCATCCGGTGGTGGATCGGTCCATTAAGATCGCCATGACTACTTGTGAGCAGATCGTGAGAAAGGATTTTGCACTAGACTCGGAGGAGTCGCGCATGCGTATAGCAGCCCACCACATGATGCGAAACCTGACAGCCGGGATGGCCATGATCACCTGCAGGGAGCCTTTGTTGATGAGCATCGCGACCAACTTGAAGAACAGCTTTGCCACTGCTTTGCGGGTAAGGATTGCCCTTGGGGGCAGAATGTGCACCACACATTCCTTCAGTGGCGTCACGCTCAATGCATCTTAGGACAGACATCTGCTGCCTTGACGCTTTCCAAGGTTTTAGAGGGAATGTGGAAATAGAGGCCAACCTGATGCCATGTTAAGTATGCCTTTATATTTAACGTCCAAGTTTTTAAAAACAGAGTCGATGGAGAAGAGTGATTTACTATGGACTGTGGCTATAGCACCGTATCCGCTATAGCCTTCTTCTGTCCACTTCCACCTTGGTTGCCTTTTCTAAGTCGTGCATGTTTAGCTACTATAGAGTCGAATGGCCCTTAACTGTAAATTGTGGCTTGGCACCGTTGAACTCTGCCTTTGAAGTCTTCCACAGATACACACACACACACACACAACGTCACTTCTACAGCTGCCCCTGAAATGCACCACCCGGGGCCACCCTTGTTTTTGGCCGGGGTGGGTGGGTGGCTGTGGTTTGCTGCCCATGTTTGGTGACTGTGAGGAGAGGGGAGGGATAGACTATTTGATTTGGAGAGCGTCCCCAGCCCCCCACCCCACCCGGGCTGCCCACACGTGCACCAGATTCTGCAGATCATTTGCAGAGAAACCCCGAAGAGTCCAGATCTGTATGTGGCCTAAAAGAATTGTTTACGGCAATGGCTGAATGTTGGTTTGTGTGTCTCGAGAGAAGGATGAAATGGTGTAGCTCTGCTCAGAGGGCACCGCTGGTAGGCTGAGGTTGCAGCCTTAATGTACTTACTGGGGAGTAGGTCCAAATCAACTTTCCAGGGTGTATTCTGAATAAGCATACATAGAAAGACTTTGCAAATTTGTAGTGGGGGTACACTTTCCCTCATTTGCATGCTTAACTGAAAACCGAACCCTTTTTTTAAAAAATGCGTTAGGGCACGTTGCCATCTAGCAAACTTATTTCATATTATGAGCATCTGTCTCCAGGATTGATGGATCATTTGGTGATCATGACTCTGGTCCTCTCTTAATGGTCTGCCTTTTCTAACAGGCAGCTTCGCCACAGCAGAGGGAGATGATGGAGCAAGCCGCTGCCCAGCTGGCTCAGGATAACTGTGAACTGGCCTGTTGTTTCATTCAGAAAACAGCGGTGGAAAAAGCAGGTCCTGAAATGGATAAGAGGCTAGCCACTGTGAGTCCGTTGGGGATTTGAAGTTCAGAGCTAAGTTATTTGCTGTGCCCAAGTCATTCATTTTTGTACTGGTTTTTTTTTTGTGTGTGTGTCTGTGTGTGCCAGGAATTTGAGCTCAGGAAACACGCAAGGCAGGAGGGTCGTCGGTACTGTGATCCAGTGGTATTGACCTACCAAGCTGAACGGATGCCAGAACAGATCAGATTGAAGGTGAGAGGGTCAGAGAAGGAGGGACATGATTTGCTTCCCTGTGTTTCTGGCATTGCATGGGATTCTAGTGCATGCTTCATTGGTCAGAATCCTGTTCCTGCTGTACACCAGTGGAAGTCAAACAAAGTAAACCACACTGGGAAATTGCTGCTAGTTGAGCAGCTACTGCTTGTGTTTCTCATCCTGTCTCAGACATGTGACTTGCTGCATGATGAGGAATACCAGTGTTGACTCCTACACACACAGCAGCATACTACAGCAGGTGACTCTGTTTGACTTGTACCCATGTGCGTTAAGTAATAGTGGCAATGAATTCATTCATTAATTCATTCTGGTCACTGATTATGAAAATGGTACTGTAATTCTCAGTCTTTGGGGCAGGACTTGGAGCTATCCAGAAAATGGGTTAATTCCCCGGTCTTCCTATCTGGAATGAAACATTTGAAAGGTATGAACATTTTAGGTCTAGGTGAAGGATTTCTAAAAGCTGCAGTCAGTTTGTGTAACATACACTGTTTCTTTATATGTAACCAAGTCATTCGATGTTTATATTTTGGTTGAAAATGCATTTAAAACTTTTTATAGCATGTAACAAATAATTGCCATCTTGCTATTTAACTAGATTTTTGGGGGGATTTTTTGTTTGTTTTCAGACTTTATACAAGTATTTTTTTAAAAAAACTTCTAGTGGCTTCCTTACTTTATAATGTTATTAATGAACTTTTTAGGCACCTGTGTCTCCCTGATACTTCTCTAGCTTTCTCGGTTCAGGAAGGGATGGCATCAGTAATCCGCTCTTAAAATATCTCACATGCCCTGACAACCTGTTTGGATCATTATAAGTTTGATGCAACTGAATTGCTCATCATGTTAAGCAGTGCACCATTATAATTTTTTTCACCAGTCTTTTGATAACAGAATTGTAAAATGTCCACTTCTGTGGAAACATTTTGTTGATATTACAACTACTTTTTTACTACTTCCTTTTAAAGGTTGGCGGTGTGGACGTAAAGCAGCTAGCTGTATATGAGGAATTTGCTCGAAATGTCCCTGGTTTCTTACCGACCAATGATTCCACCCAACCCACAGGAATCCTGGCTCAACCAATGAAGGTAGAAATCCAGCTGGTCGTGCTGAAGTCATTCAGAGGCTCATGGCAATAATGCCTCTGTGCCATGATGGCTTAATTGATATCTTACAGAGATCCGTAAGGCCGGTTGTTCCCCTCTGGTGTTTGCCTTCACAAACAGTAGCTTTGCTTGAAAACTTGCTGTATATATTCTACTGAAAGAAATTCAGGTTATGATCCCTGAAGAATCTTCAAAGTTTCTAATACTAATGTTGAGGGAAGGAAGAGAAGGTGTTGATGGAGATAAGACTTCTTCAGATCCCCCCCCAAAAAAAAAATATGGGCACTCATTTAAACTCATCTTGTTCTTCCTTAAACCAGCAAGCCTGGGCGACTGACGACGTCGCCCAGATCTACGATAAGTGTATGACGGAACTCGAGCAGCACCTGCAATCCATTCCTCACACCCTGACCATGAATCCGCAGACTCAAGCCTTACGAAGCCTCTTGGAAGCCGTGGTGGTAGCTCGTAACTCCCGTGACGCCATCGCCGCCCTGGGGCTGCTGCAGAAGGTATGTGTGTGTGTGAGAGAGAGAGAGACAGCACGCTCCCTGCACGCTGTTCCCATTACTGCTCCCGGCCGGACTGGGGAGGGGGAAAGAGGGGAAGCAGCACCTCCTCCGAAGCCGCTTGGTTCCTGTTCTCGGTTTCTTGGGTCAGTTAACCTGTTGCCCGTGGTTCACACCAGTTCTGCTGGTGCCCAAGGGCGCAACCGCAGGGCTCAGATCGGCCATTGAGAGTAGCGGGTCTTGTTCCATGATAACCAGGAACCGGTCCAGGGCATTTTTCTTTGCTTCAAACACCTTTATCCTTTCTCTCCAAAGAAGCCTCAGGGTGTTTAACAAGATGATGGGTAATAATAACAACAACAATAAAACTGATCCTGTGCATCCACAGGACTCCTCAGTTCTTAGTCCCTGGCAGTAGAGGGATGTGTGTGTGTGTGTGCGTGCGTGCACGCGCCTTCAGCTCGGCAGTCCCAGGATGCCTCAGCGGTGGGGAGCGTGGGGTCTCCTTTGCAGCAGGGAGGCGGGTGGGTGTTCTTCTTCCCCCTGCTGCCTGGTCTTGTGCTTTGCCCCGTCCCCAGGGCTGTGGCAACACCAAAACCGTACTTTACTTAGATTTTTACCCTGCCCCCCCCCCAGACAAAGTCTACTCGGTGTGGCTTACACACATGATAATAAATCATTGCGAAAACCGTACTTTACTTAGATTTTTACCCTGCCCCTCCCTAGACAAAGTCTACTCGGTGTGGCTTACAGACATGATAATAAATCATTGCCAAGATGATATAATTAGAAAATAAAGAATAAAGATCAGTTAATTGACTGGCGGGAAGGCCTGCTTAAAGAGCCAAGTTTTTTAAATGGCTTTTAAAAACACCCAGCGAGGGTGCCAGACGGATTTCTGTTGGGAGGCTGTTCCATAGCCGAGGGGCCACTGCCAAGAAGGCCCGGTTTCTTGTTCTTTCCATTAGGATATCCTCCTGCCTTCGGTCGCCTGGCGAAAGGACCTGGCCTTAGCCTTCTCCTTTTCTGCTCCCGGAGCTGAGCGAGATGATGTATTGTCTCCTTTTTTCCGTAGGCCGTTGAAGGCTTGTTAGATGCCACCAGCGGGGCAGACGCCGACCTCCTCCTCCGTTACCGGGAGTGCCACCTGCTTGTGCTGAAAGCATTGCAGGATGGCCGTGCCTACGGGTCTCCGTGGTGTAACAAGCAGATTACAAGGTCAGTCATGGGATGGTGGGGGAAGCTGGGATGGCCTCAACGGCTGATATTAAAACATTTTTAGCTGGGTGAATGTAAGCATTCCGTGCAATAAGCTAAGAAGAAGTCCGACCACAAGCCTTGATCTTCCTGAGTGAATGGACTGACACGATGAGATCGACAGTAACGGAAAGGACTTGGTTACGATCAATGGCTTGGGTTTCCCATGTTCCATAAAATGCTATCCTGGCATGAGAAGTAGGCTGGAGAGAGGCCGGCTAGGCCTTGTTCCACCCATGCCGTCAGTAGTGGCGTTGACTGGTCTTTAAAAAGTGACCAGCAGCCCTGGAGGTAAGGAGGGGGCCTTTCAGACTTTGCTCCTGGATGTGATCCTGATTCAGGATGTGCCCCAATGGAAGGAAAGCTAACATTTGTCCTGGGTGGAACTTTCTGCTGTATTCTAGCAGCTCACCCTTTCGAAAGCACAATGATCCTCCCCTTCCATTCTGTCCCGTCGCAAAGCGGACCTCAATGTGAAGGTTTGGCTCTCCAAATGGAAGACTCCCCATTTCTTGATCTTTATGTGACTCGTGACTTCTCAGTGCCAGTTTCTGTCACCTCAAAGAGTTCCTTTCCTTTCTGACAGTTTCTAGTCAGCCATACGCAGCCTTGTAAAAGTGGCCTCTCCCCCCCCACACACACACACATTATTGCTACACTGCAAAAAAATCAGGAGCTTTGAAGAGGTTGTTTTGCTTGTACAGATTCCAGCACAAACGCTAATTCCCACTTCTCTTTTGCAGTGGTGTTAGCTTTAACAGCTCGGCTGTTAACGGCCTGCATATTTACTGCCCCCTCCTGTGACTTCCCATGGGTGGGCTGGGATGTGAGTCGCCCTGGGAAAAGCCTGTGATTGGCTGCCCTTCTTTGTGAGGTTCTGTCTTGCCCAGGCTGACTCCCGGTCTCTTGTGCGTGGGCGGGTGGGTTTAGCTGCCCCCCCGCCTCCTGTTCAGCCATGGCCACAACCTGTTTCCTTACCTCAGGCCACTTCCAGTTGGCACACTCAGGTGCATGCTTGGATTTGGCCGAATGTGTGGAGGTTTGGAAGAGATTAATATCCTCGGGATACCGGAATTGAAAAAAAGAGAAGTTAAGGTAATGACTGACTTTTCCAGATGTCTGATTGAGTGCCGCGATGAGTATAAGTACAACGTCGAAGCAGTGGAGTTACTGATCCGGAACCATCTCGTGAACATGCAGCAGTACGACCTCCACTTGGCTCAGGTGAGATCCTGACACTGGCTTTTTCCCCAGCCTGTCTGCGTGCTGCAGATCAAAGCCCCTTCGCCTGTTGACATTCTTTTTCTCGGCAGTCCATGGAGAATGGCTTAAACTACATGGCAGTGGCGTTCGCCATGCAGCTGGTGAAGATCCTGTTGGTGGATGAGCGGAGTGTTGCTCACATCACAGAAGCTGATCTCTTCCACACCATTGAGACCCTGATGAGGATTAACGCTCACTCGAGAGGGAACGCGCCTGAAGGGTAAGGCTGAGGGTCCTTGGTGCTCCTGGAAGGTCCCATCCAGGGCGCCTGGTATACGTTCACTTTAGGGAAACCAGAACTTCACGTTTCCCACCTCCGTCTGCCCTTTGTCATTGCATCGCTTCAGAGCATCTCATATCTTTCGGGAGTCTTGCCCTCCTCAATGTGAATTGTCCATTTCCATTGATGGTATAAGAACCTGCTCTTTGAAATGCTGCATTATATCCAGACTGCTCTTTGGCCTTTTCTCCTAAGTCAGGCACACCCCTTTCCTTCTGGTGCATTGGACTTTCAGAGGCATGTGAGAGCCATGGTTGTTGTGCGATGCAGCCTTCCCAGGCCCCTCGAATGGCAGTGTACAGCTGGGGTTTCCATGGGAACACTCTTTGCTCTTCCATAGTGGAAATGCTGCACATGCAGAACATATTTTGCCCTCCTTGCAGAGGCTAGACTGGACTTCCCCCTCAACCCCCCCTCCCTTGAAACCTTTTGTGTTTAGGGAGCTTGTTTATTAAGCTACGGGATAACAATAATAAAGTATAAAAAAAATCAGGGAGAGGGGGAGGAACATTCAAATGAGGCCTTCCTCCGAGGTGTGATTATTTATTATTCATTTTATGTATTAAATTTATACCCTGCCCATCTAGACCGAAGTCTACTCTGGGCAGCTAACAATAATAGATAGAATAAAAACAATATAATAAAATAAAAAACAACAGTAGTAATATAGTTCAAGATGGGGAAAAAATTCAAGTGATGACAGGAGGGAAAGCCTGCCTAAAGAGCCAGGTCTTAAGTTTGCTCTTAAAAACACCCAGCGAGGGAGCCATGCAGATCTCTGGGGGCAGATGGTTCCAAAGGTGAGAGGCCACTGCCGAGAAGGCCTGGTTTCTTGTTCTTTCTCTCCGGGCCTCCTTCGGCGTTAGGCCCCTCAGCCGCCCTTCCTGGCTAGAAGGAGTGATTCAGGTAGATCTATGTGGGATACTGTGATTGATGGTATTGAAGGTGGCTGAAATAATGAGGACCAACAAAGACAGTTTGCCTCTGTCGGCCTCCCTCAGCAGGTCATCAAACAGGGCGACCAATGCCGTTTCCATACTGTAGCGCAGCCTAAAGCCCGACTGGAATGAATCCAGGGCACTGGTTTCATCTAAAAGAGCCTGGAGCTGGTCAGCCACCACCCTCTCTACCACTTAAGGAAAGAAACACTGGCGACGGGCCTATAATTGCCAGTATCGTCTGCCGCCAGACTTAGTTTCTTCCTAATAGGCCTAATGAGTGTCTCCTTGAGGAGAGACCCATCAATTATTGCTGTGGCCCATTCGGTTGTTGTAGGCCTGGCTGCTGTGGATTGTGAGAGTAAAACTGGAGGATAGGTGCCTCTGTGAAGGAAGGTTGGCATTCTGATCCCTCAAATGCTGCACCAAGGCCCCAGAAAGCTAAAAGCCTTCCCCTTGGGTTTTCTGAATCCCTCGCAGGTTGCCCCAGCTGATGGAAGTGGTCCGGTCTAACTATGAAGCCATGATTGATCGTGCTCACGGAGGGCCAAACTTCATGATGCACTCTGGGATTTCTCAAGCCTCCGAGTACGACGACCCTCCTGGCCTGAGGGAGAAGGCAGAATATCTGCTGAGGGAGTGGGTGAACCTCTACCACTCAGCCGCAGCCGGGCGTGACAGCACCAAAGCCTTCTCGGCCTTTGTTGGACAGGTAGAGCTTAGGGAGAGAGAGGTGCTTTTCATTCAACCTACGTATGGCATAAAAATCTTTGGAGCAAATGCACTGCTGTGATGTGTTGATTCCCGGGCGTTTGATCTCTCTTTTTAGATGTTTGGAACTTTTCAGTAAGAAGAATAAGAATAGTGTTCCAGCATATGCATATAGTAAATGACTGACGTTTTGCATCTCCATAGATGTGTCAGATCTTTTACAAATACTGTAAATAATATGTACTGTCCAAACATATATTTTTTTCTCCTGCTTCCAGTCTTTAAATTGCTTTGTTCATCTTCTGTTCCTATCTTATATTTCTGACTCACAAGACTAGACAGGGTGCCTTCCAAACAGAACAGAGCAAGCCTAGTCATGAGTGCTTTCCCACTCCTGAAGGGAATAAAAATCTGTCTGATTTTCCTCCTGAATTGGCCCCATGTTAGCTGTATGGTTTGTTGAAGCTTGCCTATGTAACCAAGGTCAAAAGCCTACGTCAAATGCCACCGCTGGCTCTGGGGATGGAGGCAGGACAGCCTCGGTTCACGGGTGCTGCTGCCTGTCTTGATCCTCTCCCAGAAGGAAGGCTGGGCTGCCCTCCCAGAGCCACCCTGCCTCGTGGCAGGGGTGCAGGTTCTGGGCAAGTCCCTCCTCCTGCAGCTCCTTCCCTCCTCTGGCTGTCTTCCCTGTGCCCATTTACAGGGCTGATGTGGCCTGGTATTCCCAGCCTGGGCCTAGGGAGGCTTTGCATGGGGACTCGGCTTCTGGATCTCACACACGCGCACGCACGCACGCACAGACAGACAGACAGACAGACAGACAGACAGACAGACAGACAGACACAGAGCTCCAGGGAGGAAGAACTATCCCAGTCACTCAGTGTGTCCTCCCAGAGCCAAGCACAAGAAATCCGCTGTAAGACGCTTCCTTATCACATAGCATAATTTGGCCCCAGGCAAGGTGCAGCTCTGCTGATGGCCATATGGGGAGCCATGTGGATGCCATTGAGCTTTCCTTGCTAGCCCAGTCAGTTGCTTGCCATGCCCACCCGCTTCTTCCTGGCAGTACACAATCACATGTGGAGGTGCTCCTGTGCTCCAGCAATAATGCAAGCTTTGACTCCTATGAAGCACTGAAAGCAGAAGCAAAGCGTGCTGCTTATATAGCACTTCAAGCACTCTCTGAAGAAGCAAGGGGACTCTGCAGAGGTGCAAGGTTAAGACTTTGTCTGTTTGTTTTCACGCATGCCTTGAGTAGAACATGCTGAGGTGGCTTTGGGAGGAAAGTGAAGTTCTGTCGCCTGAGTCTGCCCTTTTCCCCTAAACAGATGCATCAGCAAGGAATCCTGAAAACCGATGACTTGATCACAAGGTTCTTTCGCCTTTGCACTGAAATGTGCGTGGAGATCAGCTATCGGGCACAAGCTGAGCAGCAGCATAACCCGGCGGCAAACCCCACCATGATCCGTGCCAAGTGCTACCACAATCTGGATGCCTTTGTGCGCCTCATCGCGCTGCTGGTGAAGCACTCGGGGGAGGCGACCAACACCGTCACAAAGATCAACCTGCTCAACAAGGTTGGGAGCTCCTCTTAGCTGCGGAGACGGGGAGTCCGGTGTCCTGCCCCTTGGGTTGCAGGCCTTAGAGCTGGGGGCATGCCTCAGGCGGGCGGGCGCTGTTCCTGCACTCGCCCCCGGGGCACAAAAGGAAATACCGAGGGCCTCATCTTGTGGGCTGCCTGTTCTCTGGTTTACAATGGCAGTTCTGCCTCTTGGCCTCCCTCCGTCTGTAACGGGGAGATGGTTGCAGTATTATCTAGGACATGTTTTGAGCATTTTAAGAATTAGGGTGCGCATGGGAAGGAAATGGGTTTGCGATGGATCTGGGCCTCATTCACATGAATATGGTTGGGCAGGAAATACTAGCGTAAGGTTACAAACAAGACCAGCACATTGGGACTTAATCTTGGGGTGCGTTGTTTTCATAGGCCATCAAGTGAGTTCCAAATCATGGTGACCTTTAACCCAGAGTATTCTAGGTAGTAAATATTTAGTGGTTTGCCATTCCCATATTCTGGAGGCCGCCCTGGGACTGGGCAGCTTGCCCAAGGCCACCCAGGGTGGCTGTTCTCCTGGGAGGCGCACAGTGGGGGATCGAGCTCCCAACCCCCACCATCTGGTCCAGCTCACTTAGCTAGACAGAGAGAGAGAGAAGTTCAGGTTTACACGATGCTGATTTGGCTTCGGAATGGGCTACCAATAAATGCAGGGCTCTGAGTCTGTTGATCGTTTCCTCTCTGCAGGTTCTTGGGATTGTGGTGGGAGTCCTTCTCCAGGACCATGATGTTCGCCAAAGTGAATTTCAGCAGCTCCCCTACCACCGCATCTTCATCATGTTGCTGTTAGAATTAAATGCTCCTGAACACGTCCTGGAAACCATAAATTTCCAGACACTCACAGCCTTCTGGTAGGTCTAACTGCCCTTTAAAGTGGCTTGACGCTTGTTCAGAGACAGCTTTTTATCTTATATCTGTGTGTGGTTTAAATGTGGCCATAGTAAGTAAGCAGGTCTTTGTTATGAGAAAAACCACCCATTAAGAGGATGTGTGGGCAGATGTAGAATCCTTTCTCCAAGGGGGCATTTGAGAACTGATCTTTATACGTTATGACTACAAGTGTGTGATAAAATATAATTAAAAAGAAAGCTTTTGCTTGTACAGGTCCTTTAGTGTAGATTGTAATGCAGATTTTTACCTGTGTGAGGAAGACACAACGCTGAAGTGTTCTGTTTTTATTTCAGCAACACCTTTCACATCCTGAGACCTACGAAAGCTCCAGGTTTTGTTTATGCTTGGCTAGAATTGATCTCGCATCGGATATTTATTGCAAGAATGCTGGCCCATACACCACAGCAGAAGGTGTGGCTGCAGTTTATCTTCTGTAACTTACGAAGCTTCCACAGGGGATAAGGATGCGTCTTGGTTTGCAGGTTTTGTTTAACTAGAATGACTTTATGACTTTTCACGGGCAGTTTTCAATTAGTTTACCCTGTTCCTACAATAGAACTGTAGAGAGCAAAGAGGTTCAGTGGGTCATATGAAGGGGGGGGACCAAGCCATGAACCCTCAAGAGGACTGATTAAAGCTAATTTAAAAATGAAAGAAAAGTCAGCTGATTTTGGAAAAAAAAACTCTAAACGTTATAACTTCTTGTTTTTAATGAAAATGTCTTGGTTGAAATGACCTCTGAGTACAGTTTTGTCAAGCCTTTGCTGCCCACGTTTGAAACCAGTTGTTGCCAATCAAACATGCCTGGAAGGCCCCTTCGGCTTAGGCAACGGGGGCCCCTGCCTCCCCTTCCCCCTCTTCTTCCCGCAGAGCCGAAGCCTTCATTTCCATTCTCGGTTCATCACAGTTGAGCAGCACATCTTCATCCTGAACGGTGGCTTCAGGCTCTGACTTATTATTTTCTGTTCAGAATCTTAGGGGATCTAGTTTTTGAGATCATTCATTGCACATTAAGTATCGTACTTTTAAGAACTTGATAGTGCAGGTGAAGGTAAGCCTAGAGTGGCAGATACTAGGGTTATAAACACATAAAACTCCTCAGAGCTTTTCATCCAAGATTGCTTCCAGGACCAGATTCCAGGGTGAGGAACCACAGATCTCCTCAACCCTATGCTTTTTCATGCCTGAGCTGGGCAGTTTGCCCAGTTTTCACATCAGTAATACTTAACTAAGCAGACAGGGTTATCATCCTGTGAAGGCAAACTGCTTTGCCCGTTTGCCCACCAGCTCCTGCTTTGGGAAAGTTTGGGGGCCTTAGGTGTTCCTGAATGTTTGCAGAGTCATAAAGGCTGCAGTGGGCCAGTTTCAGATGGTTCACTTGCTTTGTTTCTTTGCTGAGGATTTACGGCAACACAGGAGTATTGTACAGTGTATTACGGAGAAGGAGAACAGCTGAAGCAAAAGCTGATGCTTTTAGGGACTGTCAGGGTTTTGTGCAAGTTTACACTCCTTGTTCCATTTCTCACAAGCCCAGACAGACAGAGCTCAGCCTATGAAGTCCCTTCGTTGTGCCAGCTGCCTGACTGTACTTGGGATGGCCTATGTCAGGGAGCCCTAAGACATTCACGGTGGGAGATACTCTGTAGTACTGCAGGGTGGTGCAGATGATTTGTTTTTTCACCACACTGGTGGTGGGAGTGAATGCAGACACAGCTTGGATTATGAGGAAAAAAGTCATCACTTTGTTCTCATTGTGTAACCGCTCCTTGTTCTAGGGCTGGCCCATGTACGCACAGCTATTGATTGATCTGTTTAAATATTTGGCTCCTTTCCTGAGAAACGTGGAACTCGCCAAGCCTATGCAAATTCTGTACAAGGTAAATGACCTTGTTTTCTCGGAGAACATTTTAGAGGGAAGGAAGATGTGGAACTTAAAGAGAACTGCATTGAACTACTGCTGGCAGCTCATTCCTCCAGCACAAATGTGACAGAGTTAAGAGCGGAGCTTTTTTGCCGAGGGCTCTCATTCCCCCCCCACAACACGCCTGCACAGAGTGCAGCGTAAGAGCATGGTGTGTGGCTCCCTCCTGCTCCAGGTGCCATCATTTGGGGTAGGTGGGGTGCAGGCTCTTGTATTTGCCCAATGCCAGCCCTCCTTTCATATCTGTGCCCGTCTGCTGTGATGTGGTGAGGAAACGCCTGTGTGCACGTGAGTGTGCACACTCCATGGAAGTCCACTGGTGCTGCATGAGGCCCTTGGTGCTGAGCAGAGGGGCGGGGGCCACCACCATAGGGAAAGCCTTCGGGAGGTTTAGCGCAAATGCTTTCTCTCGACCTTTCAGAGTCCTTGTCCCTTTTTGGCAGGGTACTCTGCGTGTGCTGCTGGTCCTGCTACATGATTTCCCGGAGTTCCTGTGTGACTACCACTACGGATTCTGTGATGTGATTCCTCCAAACTGTATCCAGCTAAGGAATTTGATCTTGAGTGCCTTTCCTCGCAATATGAGACTTCCGGATCCCTTCACTCCCAACCTTAAGGTAAGCTCCCGGGCAGAAACCTAGGCTGCAAGGCTGGCTCTCTTCAAACCGGTTAAGGCTTGCAAGTGTCTTGATGGCAACCGCTAGGTTTTGTTTTTTTGTTGTGTAATCCTGGGAATTTGCAAGTCTGATCTGTGTCATGTTTTGACTCCCTTGGAGAAGCTTCATCAGAACTACTCTGTTAGGGAAACTGCTTAATTGGCAGCTTTGACAATTAATTAGCAAATGATGGGGATCTCAGTTCAGGGTGTTTGGAGAAAGCGGGCTACCTCTTCACAAGCGCTGTAGCAGAAGGGCAGCCAGCTGTTCCCCCATCCCGCCCTGTGGGCGTTGTTTAGGCCATAGCTGCAGGAAAGGAAAATCTTTTCTTTCCAAATGGCTCCTCCCCGCCTTTTCAGAACGAAAGGAAATGGCTGAGCATTTTGTTCTTGAGGTTTCGCTGCTTGAAGGGTTTTCCAACCGTCATTCCTCAGAGTGGGTGCTGCGTGGAGTTGGGGAGCATGGGGCAGGGCGACTGCTCTCTGCAGGAGACAAGCTTGGCACCGTTTTATTGCCATCACAAAGACAGAGGGGAAGCGCTGTCTGTACCAGTGAGAGAAGTGCTCTGCCTGTCACTGAAGGAATGCTCAGAACCCTGAGGGCACAAGACCCCCCCCCACTCCTTTATAGATGGCAGACAGCCTCGTTCTCAGTGACTGTTGGACCTTCCTCCAGTTTACTTAGCGTGAGGTATTGGGGGGAATGGCTCCATCCCTCTCTAAAATCTGTGTTATATCAGTTCTCCTCATTTTCTGGTGAGGAGACCACTGGCAGGAAAAACCATAAAAGGTCTTGTGGGGACCTTACAGACTAACCGTTTTTATTGGACACAAATGTTTGTAGACTTTAGCGTGCTTCCCCAGGTGAGGGGGCTGCGCTCCAGGAGTGGCTTTACTGGCAAGCAAAATCGGTGAGCCTTTAAGGAGCCACAAGCCTCTCCACTGAGTTCTTGAAGGCCGTCTGACCCTCAGAGGGACCTGTGTTTTCCAGTTCATCAAGTAGCTCTGAAACCTACTCTGTCACTGAAACGTTTCCGACACTGTTAGGATTCTTGTGTCTGTCCTGGACAGGTGGATATGTTGAGCGAGATCAATATTGCTCCCCGGATACTCACCAACTTCACCGGCGTGATGCCCCCTCAGTTCAAGAAGGACTTGGATTCCTATCTCAAAACCCGCTCTCCCGTCACGTTTCTGTCCGACTTGCGCAGCAACTTGCAGGTGAGAGACTTCGCCCAGGGTCTGACGTGGGGAGTCTGCAAGGTGGGGCCAGGCATGGCCGTGCCGTCCCCCGTCTGCCCTGAAGCATGCGGGCCACCCCACCCGGGTCCAAATCCAGGTGCGCCTGGGCCATCGAAGGAAGGATTGGTTCCAGGGCAGGCGCGTCTCCGCTCAGTCCCGCTTCAGAGGCCACAGGTGGGCACGTATGCGACGGAGCAGCCTGGCAGGTGGTGTAGGGCATCTTTTCTTACAAGTAGTGCCTCGGGGGGGTGAGTGAGAAGATTAATATTGCTGGTGGCGGGGGCTGCAGGAAGGTGACAAGAGGCTGCCTGCTGTTGAGGCAAAGACCTGGACGGCCCCGTCGCGATCCTCTGACATGACAAACCCCAGGAGTCGGTTTCTTGGGTCCTTGGGGGCTCCATCGGGCGCTGACTCCTCTTCCTCTGCTGCAATTGCCTGCCTAGGTGTCCAATGAGCCCGGGAATCGCTACAACATCCAGCTGATCAACGCACTGGTGCTGTACGTTGGCACTCAGGCCATTGCCCACATCCACAACAAGGGCAGCACCCCCTCCATGAGCACCATCACCCACTCGGCTCACATGGATATCTTCCAGAATCTGGCTGTGGATTTGGACACAGAAGGTAAAAGGGGAAGCTGGTCTCACGTTGCATCTGTTGCAAGAGGCCTGTGTTCTAGAGTCCTATTCATGGGTGGAGGGAGGTATAGAAGGCCTTAAACTTTCCCTTTGGGGACCTGAAAGCAGTGCCCCATAGCGCTAAGTGTTCTGCTTCTCTTGAGAAGTTGGGGGAGGGAGTGATAGATGAGGCCCCACAGTAGCCGGGACTCTGGACTGGTCCTTTGAATCAGACTCCGCATCAAGACCCTGGGATTGATAAGCCCAATTCAGTCTGTCGTGTGTCTACCTTTAAGCTTGCTGAGAAAGGCGTTGTTTACTCTCATATTTTACACAGCATGTGGGACACTCTTCCTGGCAAATCTTATGCCAAATCATGCCAGATGTGTACGGTTAACTTTCTGAATATTTGAATATAAATCTGGAATTCCAGATAAGATTTAATTTGGGCGCCGGGGCGGGGGGAGTCCTTTGCATTTAAGATGGTGGTCAACAATGCTTCCTGTCTTGCTCCAGGCCGGTACCTCTTCTTGAACGCGATTGCCAATCAGCTGCGGTACCCAAACAGTCATACCCACTATTTTAGCTGCACCATGCTCTACTTATTTGCTGAGGCCAACACCGAAGCCATTCAGGAGCAGATCACCAGGTAAGAGATGAGCCTCTCAGGGTCTGCCTTGCTCTTGCAAACAGCAAAAAAGGTGGTTATTGTGTTTTTTAAAAAGGGATAAAAGCGAGACAGGGTCCTCCCTGCAGGAGCAGCAGCCAAAGGGGTAGCTGCCTGCTGCCTTCTCCTGAAAGCCTCATTAGCAAGGTTATGCCATATACTAGAAGTAGGAACCAAGTGGGACTCCCCACCCCACCCCTACCTCCACCCTTGTTCACCTGCCAGGAGAACAAGGCTTCAGGCCCAGGACAGCATCCCGGGCTTTGGTCCAGCAGCATGTCAGCATGACAGGTCTGAAGAAATCCAGGCCTCAAGGCTTTCTATTGCTAGCTGATTTCTCTTTGGAGAGGCCTGGAGATTCTGGGTGATTTTTGTGCGCAATAGCACGGACCCACAGGAGACGACCACCAATGCAGCGGGGCAGAGGTTTTCTCCGAAAGCAGTTTGAAGTTGTTGGGAAGACAGATCCTGCAAGCACGGAATAAGGCACGAGGCCGAGGGTGGGGGGTGGCGGGGACCGAGCGCGCCAGAACATTGCTGTAGGTGTCCTTAAATTGGGGTTGAAGTTTGGCTTCATAGATATTTTAGATCCCAGCTGCCATCATCCATTCTGGCTGGGGCTCTGCCAGATGGAAATCCAAAACATCCAGAGAAAGGGGTGGGTTGGGTTAAGGGTTGCTGGCTTTCCAGATGCTTGGGGGCTGGAATTCCTCTTTAAGGAGACTTGCTGGCCACCAAAGACATCCGAACAGCTAGAGGGGACTCAAAAGCCCCCCAAACCTGTGTTGGGTTGTATTGTTTCTCCTGGCTGAAGGTGCTTTCTTTCCCCACTTCCTGGTCCCATTTCTGTCTTTCTTTCCTCATTACAGAGTTCTGTTAGAACGACTGATTGTAAATAGGCCTCACCCATGGGGACTGCTAATTACTTTCATTGAGCTGATTAAAAACCCAGCATTTAAGTTCTGGAACCATGAGTTTGTTCACTGTGCGCCAGAAATTGAAAAGTAAGTGATTCTGAGAGTGCCCTGTCCTTGTTTTGGGTGGGTGTGTTTGTCCGTCCCGGGAACAGTGATGTTTCCAGAGGAAGGGGACTTGGATCCTGACCCTTGGACCCTTCTCCGTGTCATAGGCTGTTCCAGTCTGTCGCACAGTGTTGTATGGGGCAAAAGCAGGCACAGCAGGTAATGGAAGGAACTGGTGCTAGTTAGAAGCAGCAACCCTGGTGGAAACACGGTGCCAGCCTGGAGGTCTCCATCCCATCAAGCTGACGGAGGAACGTGCGCACGTGTGGGTCTGTCCAGAGCTAGGGAGCCGCCTCCCTCTCCCTCCCTCCCTCACGCTGGGCTTGCATTACAGTGGGCTTACTTGTGTGAGAAATCTCCTCTTAGGTGGGCATGTTCCAAAGTTTAAAGCAAAGTTCTGACTCTTGGCCAAAATTCAGAAGATGCTGTGAATATAATTTTGAACTATTGTAAATAACACAGAACAGAAATATTTGTCTGGACTTTGGGTTTGTGCAAATTGTGTTTCAAGAGAGGCACATCACGAGTGCCTGGCCGGCTTGTAATACAGGGGTGGCTGCTGATGCCGAGCACTTGTCTGGGGCAAATCCGCTCGCCTGACATTCCCAGACTCCCAAAGAGCACGGAAAAGCCAGTTTAAATATTATGTAACTTATTTTTCTTGTGGGTGGGGGACCTATAAATCACAAAGTTGTCAGAGAGATGAAATGAATGCATTGGAACACAGGATCCTATGCAGTATAAGAGGGTGGTGAGGATGAGGGTCCAGGATGTTGCTTTTCCCGGGATGAAATGATGCCAGCAAGAGATGTGGGAGGTGGATCAGAGAACTCCATGGCAAAAAAAGTACACCTGAAGCCCTGTGGGAGAGGGCCGGTGGTTTTACGGAGAGAAACAAGACCAGGCCTGTAGATTTTCTTTCTTGACACTTGTAAATTTCGGGACGGGGAGGGTGTGAATCTAATAACTGCTCCCCTGCGGCCACAACGTTTGAGTTTGTAAAAAGAACAAAAAGGACCAATACAGCCCATTTTGTAAGGATTTTGAATGTTTTGTAAATGTATTGGTCCATGTGTTGTATTTTGTAGCCTTTCTAGTTCTCTTGGGCTTTAGTTCTCCCACTTCTTGTATGTATGCATTCTGTAGTTAAACATTAAAGTCATGACAAGCAGCCGGTGTCATCCTCATCTCTCCACCTCTTCTGCTGGGCTTGGCTAATGTGCATCTCAGGCCTCATGTGACTCCTATATTGGAGAGAAGCACTTCACACTGCATACTTAATGAGATGTCCTCCTGTAAAATGTGATGACAAGGAAAAGTGGGGGGGGGAGGAAGGGGTAGGCACAAATCCTGACAGACGGCTCTGTTAGTATAGCTTTATTACATTTCTATCCCGTGTGTCCTCGGAGGAGCGGACAGTAACCCTGTGAGGGGGATTAGGCCAAGAGCGAGTGTCCCAGAGCACCTGGTGAACTTCATGGCCAGGGTGGTGCTGGTTGAAGCCAGGTCTGACACAAAACTACCCTCCAACACTGGTTCCTGCACGTGTCCTGGTAGCTTCCCCCATCCTACCCCTCAAGGACACCAGTAGCTCCCAACAGGCTGAGCTGCTGCTACCTGGCCAGCTCAAGCAACTGGTGCAAGACCTTCTTCTGCCCGTAGCGCACTTGCAGGGCAAACTGTTCTGTGCGGCTAAGCCGCGAATAAGCCTGCAGGTCCTTAAGCAGGTCTTCCTCCTCTTTCAGGTCTGTGTCATAGGATTTCAGGGTCAGCCGTGTGGCCCCACAGAGAAGTTTTTTCCAGGAGGCTTTCAGATTAGGGATGACAGCAACGGACAGCAGTGGTGGATCGGTGCCTTCCGTGCCCACTTCTACCTGTTGATCTTTAAACTCTTTGAATTCTTCTGCTGACATGCTGAGCACCTACAGCCACAAAAGGAAAATCTGAGAATAATGACAGAACTGAAGAAAGTAGTTCAATTGATTTGCCAGATGTGCAAAACATCTGGAATGTGCTTTCAGTGGATCTCGGGGAAACAGCATCCACGCCAATATTGAGTTAAGCATTGGAGGTAAAAGGGAGTCTAATATAATCCATCTGTCGACCAGATCACTCACCTTCAATGCTGTGAAGAGCTCTTCTTCTGTAAAAATGCTCTCCCAACCAATCACAAAGGCTCCTTCCTCACCCACCATCTCCAGCTGGCAAAGGAAGTCCCATTGCTCCGAGACCAGCTGCCGTTCGGCTTCTGTCCTTGCAGCTGGTTGATGGGAAGGGAGAAAGGCAGGGGGTGGCTTCAATAGGCAGGCAGCGCCAGGTCCCCAAAGCAGATGGGCAAGTGGGTAAGTAAGTGCTCTGTGTCTAAAGCATCTTTTAAGAGGGAGAGCTGCCCCTCTCAACAGAAGCCCCTGTTCTGTAGTTAAGAATGCCTGACAAGCAGGGAACAGCTGGGCTGAAATCCTCTTTTGATCACAGAGCTTGCTAGGGGACCTGATGCCACCCAGCGCTTCTGGGGAGAAAGGAGCTATGTGCTTGCAGGAAACATCTCAGTAGCCTGGAAGGAAAGGCAAAGGAACTGCCTCCCCTGCTCTGGATCTCGTAGGACGAAGACAGAGCAGCAAAAAGCAACACACAAGAACCAAGGGAGTCCTTGTCAGGGATCCTATTGTTTACTCGGGCAACCAATGCGAGGTCCTGCCTGGAGGGCCACTTGCCTTGCAGTGCAGCTCTGAACAAAGTCAGCATCTGGATGTCAGCAGTGTCATTTGTGTTGCCAGGATACGGCTCAGCAAAGCCATACATGTGAAGCAGCTGCCAGTTTGCCATTTGTCCGTAGGTGTTGAAGACCTCTTGGCCCTTACGGACAGGCTGAGTTGTGACCATTTGCAAGAATTCCTGTGGAAGGGGCAGGAAAGTATAAACATACACTCCAGAGCCCCACAGATCTTTCAAGAAAACATATTCCACCCTACCACAACTCTCCCAACGATTTTCAGCATCTGTGTCTTCCCTGACAAAGGCAACCCCTGTGGGGGAGTCTATCGAATCTTACAGAAGATCTGACCTTCTAAGCCTCCGCTCACCAGAACACTCCTTTTTCAGCCACTCTGATATCTTTCTAGGCCACCCCTTCTTGTGCATTGGGCTTGTTTGTAACAGTGTTTTCAGCATCCTGCTTTTTAGAAACTCCCACTTCCATTTCCATTCCACGTCTTTCTGTTGCACTTTTTTGACTGAGTAGTGGGAGGCAATAATTCCAAATAAATAAAGACATAAACCACAGAGTAAAAGGTAAAGGTTCCCCTTGACAATTTTTGTCCAGTCGTGTTCGACTCTAGGAGGTGGTGCTCATCCCCGTTTCCAAGCCATAGAGCCAGCGTTTTGTCCGAAGACAATCTTCCGTGGTCACATGGCCAGTGCGACTTAGACACGGAACGCTGTTACCTTCCCACCAAGGTGGTCCCTATTAACCTACTCGCATTTGCATGATTTCGAAGCGCTAGGTTGGTGGGAGCTGGGACAAGCAACGGGAGCTCACTCCGTCACGTGGATTCGATCTTACGACTGCTTGGTCTTCTGACCCTGCAGCACACAAAGGCTTCTGCGGTTTAGCCCACAGCGCCACCACGTCCCAAACCACAGAGTCCCACCAAGTAAATTCTTAAGCTTGTTGAAACATCCTTTCTAAAGTTCATCTGACTCAAACTGTATATTCCCAACACTACAGACCTCCCCACAGCAAGAAAGAAATAGCCTTGGTGGTGGGGGAAGGCAGTTGCCTCCGGCTGCTACGATGAAGGTTTCTCTTAAGCCAGAACATGCTCAGCTGATAGAGCGGCCTCTGCTTGGCATGCCCTGTTCTCCCTCTCACAGAAGCCTGACTGCCCTTATCTGCGGCATCTTCTGCTCACCGGGGAATATTCCAAGTTGGCATTGTGGTTGGCCACATGATTCAAGAGGTCTGCCAGGGGGACCATCACAGGGGGGTTGGGCTCCTTCTCATCTTCCTCTTCTTCATCTAAAGGTTCCTGGAAACTAATCACAAGCAAAGACAAGAGCATGAAGCACAACAAGAGTCCTCCTTGAAGGGTTGAGAGAGACCCCAAGGGACATGGCTCTAGAAATCCACACCACCACTCCCAAACCAACCCTCAAGTGTCCCTCTAGCCCCATATTGTCAGCTCTGACTGGCAGCCATGGTTCTGCAGGGGTTTCCACCAGAAGCCTTTCGTAGCTCTGCCTGGGGGTCCCGGCTGTCCCCTGACGGCCTCCTATCCACGTTCTTGGCTGGCCAGACCCAGCTGAAAACCTGAAACCAGCAAGACAGCTCTGCGTAGGGCGAGACCACGGCAGGCCTCCCCATCCATGAACAGCTGCCAATGCTTGAGGAACAAGCCCGAGGGTCTGGTCTGCGAAAGCCTCATCACTGCCAAACTGCCGAGAAGCGGTTAAGAGGTTTCTGACAAAGATTTGGAAAGGAGGAACACTCGAGATCAGATCACCTTTGACTGGGCATAACTTCATCTGATCCTCTGCTTCTAACTTGTTCGTTTACACAGTCAGAAATATTCCAAGCCCACTCTACTTGCCTACTCAAATTCTGAGGACAACACAGTCTGTAAAGAAGTTTTCAGTTATCAAGGCCAGAGAATAAAGATGTGGGTAAGAAAAAGAACAAAAGGAGTGGCAACCGTCCTCCTTTGAAATGGGAGGCCTTTGCCTCCCATCTTCTCAGCTCACCAAGGCTCTCCCCTCCTCAGGGAAAGAGGGGGACTCCCCTCAGCACCTCTAGGCGGGACTGTCCACCCTCTCATGGCCCTGCCTGGAGGCAACCCTAAGCCGGCCTCCCTTAGAATTTCCACGGACTCCCACGGGGTCCACCAGAGACTGCTGCCCACCTCTTGGCTCTCTCTCTCTCTCACCTATAGGCCATGACAAATGCCACCAGCCTCTTGTAGAGCTCCAGTGTGTGCACCTGTGGGTTGAAGGTTTCGGGGTGGGCCTTCATGAAGGGCAGGATGATAGAGGCATATTCCACCTGGATGCTGGCCAAATCCTTGTCTACTGCTTCTGGGATCCCCGTCCCTCGCAGCAGCCTCATCCGCTCTTCACTGCTCCTGCACAAAACATCAAGCCGGAAAGCACACTGTTTTCTATTCTGAGTAAGAAGACAGCTCAGGTTATATTAAGGGAGGGGGGGTGGTTTTCTCATCTCAGACGTTACAGATCAGGAGTTCCTTGGCAAAACGACTCCCTTTTCCCTCGTTCTTCCTCAGTTCATCATCCCCACTGCTGATATCCTTGCAAAAAAGAGCACTTGCCACTCTCGCTTAATTTTCACTTCTTGTGTTGCATTCGCTCAAATGCTGCACACTTCACTTTCTTTAAACACCATCTGAGTAAACGTGAGGGTGCAGACTGTGAAACAGAGAGGCAAACCTGCTCAAGATTCAAAGCGGTCACTATAGTATCCAGGAACAAGCTAGCCTCTCAAAACACCTCAAATACCACCAAAGAGGATCAAAAGAAGAGCAAAAGCCTTTTAAATTCTGTCGACAGGAACCATACAATCGGCAAGAGTTGAGGAAGAAATGGGAGGATAAGAATTGGATGGGAAGAGTTGGGGCTTCCAACAGAGAAGAACCTGTCGACAGCCCTTAGCCAAGCGCCTCTTTTCCTGCTCACACAACCAAAACAGGCTTGGACACACAAAGATGTGCTCAGCGCCAGCTCTTGCTGATCACGGCCACCTCCGAGAGACGGCAGCTGGCCTCCAGGAGGAAGCTGGGGGTTAGCAGAGCACCGCTGTTGTATCATTTGCCTCTTACCAAAACATGGGGTGATCCAGACCCGTGAAGTTGGGCCAGAGGGAGAAATAAGGCCTCCAGAAGGAACTGCTGTCTGTGGATTCATGTAGCAGAGAAAGCAGGAGGGGAACCCAGCCAGACTGACTCTCCAGGGAGCTTTGTTCTGTTGATTGGGGTGGGGGGAGAGAGAGAGAAGGAAATAGGGTATACAAATGCCAGAATGATTCTACAGCACTGGTTCTTAACCTTCGGTTACTCAGGTGTTTTTGAACTGCAACTCCCAGAAACCCCAGCCAGCACAGCTGGCGGTGAAGGC